AATTTTTAGCGTAAGGATTTTAGAAAAAAGTATCGTCTTATAGTTGGAAAAATACGGTATTCTGTGTGTATGGAAATGCATCCTTAATAGTTCATTTTTTGGTGTTAAGGCACCAAACTAGAAACTGAGTTCTGAGTTCTGAACATGAGTTCTAGTCCTGCCTTAAGCATGAATGGTGACTTTGGGCCAGTCACTCTTTCTCAGTCCTAGGAAGAAGGCAAGGGCAAACCATTTCTGAAAATGTTGCCAAGAAAACTGCAAGGACTTGTCCAGGCAGTCGGCAGGAGTCAAAATTGACTTGAAGGGACATACACATGCTTTTTTATATAAAGAAATATATAATTTAGGTAGCTTAACATAATTCTCAATTTTGCTGAAACCTAAGGTTGCAAATAAATGTATGTAAACAAACATAATTCTCTGCTGTTTTCATGTTTTCCTTTTTTTGTAAGATTTTATTTTATTATTGACCTTTGTTGAATTAACATTTAACTGCTTAAGAAAACCATTAGAATGTGGCAAAAGAAACTCCAGACTTGTATGAGTCTTCTCTTCCCTTCTTTCATTGTCTGACCATAAGTGTGGCATAAAGTGTGGAACTTTAAAATTTCTCAATTTAGTTTCCAACAAACTTACATCAATATTTTAAAAATATAATTCATTTCAGCCTCTGCTTACTGCATATTTCAAATAATTTTTTATTTTAAAAATGCCTAAAACAATAATAGCTGGTGTTGCAAGCTTAGGAAAAAAAAGGTAGTAGATGCTATTTTGGATTTGGACTGGGGTAACTGGGTATGAATCCCAATTCAGGCATTTCAGCTTCATGTCCCATCCCTCAAGCAATGCCATTCTGTATCATGATACCTGTCATGGTAACCATCCTTTGGGATAGGCAGGTTTGTGTCCATCTGGCTTGAACTATGTAGATTAGTTCACGGTGCATATTTGTTCCCCTGTTATAAGAATTTTTTGTCTTTTTTCTGGGTTAATGTAATGTAGGTATTTTTTTATTTTGTGAGCCACCCTGAGATGCTGCTGAGTTGGGCAACGTTACAAATCAAATAAATATAAACCAGCCTTGACTGAGGTATTATTCAGTGTCTGTATGTACATTGGGAAAAATGACAACCTATTTATAGGATAAGATTGGTAAGAATATTAAGGGTGTCATGATGATGATGATGATGGTGATGATGATGAGCCATCAAGTTGTTTTTGACTGGTGACCACATAGATAGATTTTTCTCCATGCCAATCTATCCCTCACCTGTTATATCAAGTTTCCCAATGGTGCACTCATTGCCACTGTAACTGAGTCCATCCACCTGGCTGCTGGTCATCCTCTTCTCTTTCCCTCCACCTTTCCCAGCATTAGAGCCTTTTCCAGAGAGCTGGGTTTTCGCATAATGTGTCTGAAGTAGGATAATTTGAGCCTGGTCATTTGTGCCTTGAAGGAACTGTGGGTTGATTTATTCGATAATCCATCCATTTGTTTTCTTGGCTGTCCATGGTATTCTCAGGAGTCTTCTCCAAAACCAGAGTTCAAAGGTGTCAATACTTCTTCCTATCCTGCTTCTTTAAAGTCCAACTTTTGCTTCCATAGAGTGACAAGGCTCTACTTAAAAATAAAAATTATATTTATGCGGATACAAGTGGTTATTATTTTCATTGCCTTTAAAGCTGGTAGTTTTTGAAGTTTTTTGTTGTTTTGTTATCTGTAAGCATATCTTTAGTTGTAATTGTGCTAATCCTCTGATTTCAACAGGTTCTAGATTCAGATGCAAATTTTCTTCCTAAAACAGCTTCTTCATGTTCTCAGATTTGTACTTATGTGTGATGTGTCTGTACACAGACTTGTTGAGAACCTTCTAGAGCTTTTATATAATTATTTGGTGGGTCCCCTATCCAATTCCACAAGGGCAAAACAAGGAGGAACATCTTCCTGGTACTGGCTCAATGGCTCCAGTAGTCTTAAACACCATGTCATCCTTCTTCAACTGAAATTTCTGCAGTTGCTAGACTCACCAATCTATAGTACTCAGTCCCTGCTGGTTCTTCCTTAGACCTGGATTTGATCTTGGAAGGAGATATTTGTAAAATAACTATTTTGAGACCTACTTATTCAGACTACCATTTTGTGCATCAAAGTAGCTGGGGCCCATTCCTTCCCCACCTCTATCTCAAGGTCACTGAATTGTAGTTGGGTATTACATTCCCTATCTATTTTCAAGGATCATCTCTGATGATTCCTCAACCACTTATACTCAGTCAATGAATGTGTGGTAGCTGTGAAAAAGATCAATGTTTTGCTAGGGATTTTTAGGAAATGGTTTAGAAATAAAACTGTAAGTATTGGACAGTACTGTATATGACAGAAGTAAATATTTGATTTGTCAATATTGGAAAGTTGTATATAAATCTTTGGTGCATGCAGCCATATTTCCAATTCCAAGTACAGTTCTGGTTGTTGCACCTTATATAACATGTTTTAGATTATGGGCTGCCAAGCTTAGTAGCATAGTTAAAACTTACCCTATTTGCCATCTTTTATCATTGAAAAGAGGAATGCAAACAGTGACCAGCAGCAAAAGTTATATTGCTTGCTGTATGAGCTGCATACATTTTTATCTCAGAAGAAGAAATATTAATGTCAATTATTCATATGTGTAGCAGCTTTAACATCTGGAAAGTGCACTGTTTTGCTCACATAACAGGACTTTACTTCCCCTCCACCATACTGATCTTCTGATAAAGAACTTTAAGCAGTAGTTTATGATATGCTAATTCAGTTCTGAATCAGGTTTACAAGTTCATACATACACAAAAGAGGTACATTTTTAAAAACTGCTTTGAAAGGACTTGGGGGTCAAAGTTAGATCTGGTGGCAAAATACTCAGCCATTAAGTGTGGTTGAAATCGAAAAGAGATAAATCAGCAAAAAGAAAAAAACATCACATGATACAGCAGAAGGAAGGAACAACAGAAATACCAACAGAAAGAAAATTAAAAAGAGTTCTAAAGGAAAGGGAAGTAAAAAAGAACAAAAAATAAAACAATCTTGTGAAGACAAGAATGGCATTTAAAAGGAATCTGAAGCAGCCACAGTGTGGCTTAAAAGGAGGCGGGTGTGCTTTCCTCAGATACCACAGCTGATTAGAAAGAAGCAGCATTAAGGTTACATGTGCTGGTACAGTGGATAGCAAGCTAGTCAAGTATCCATTTCTAAAGGCATGCAAGATGCAGGAAAGGAGAAGCAGATAGAAACGGGGAGGATATTGCAACCTGGTGTGTAACAAAGGGAATTGGAGATAATGTTGGAGATGTTCCAGTTGCAAGGCTTTTCATGTGGTATGGGGACTGAATATGATCTGAAAAACAGGAGCTTTGAGAGTAGCAGACATGCATTTTTGTTGTTGGAACTGCAACTCCTGCCATTGTTGGAACTGCAACCACCACTGTTCAGGGGAATACTGCAATTATGAACAAGTTGGCTACCAAATAGGTAGAAAATGAAGAAGTAGCAGGGTAACAGACAGGAGAGGCCGGTAATGGCATTAACCAGTTGGAATATATTGCCTAAGAATGAGTCCTGGTCACCTGTTTTCAGTGGTGTCATTGCTGTGAGTATGAATGGTTTAATGGAAGGATTACACAGAAAAATGGTTGGAGTGATTCTCAAGAGGCTGATGAAGATATAGCCATATCAGATAGAAGATCTTTGAACTAGTATACTGGATTAAAGTTGTGCCTCTATCACTTTTAATGGACGGTAAGGAGGAGACTGGAGATGGAGGCCAGTGGTACCCAATTTATCCCATTGGTAGATTGTGAGTGCACGCAGGGCCATCTGCCTGCTATACATAGGTATAGAGCCACCTGTGCCATTAAATTGACAAGACCTGCCTTAGGTGAATGGTGAGATGGAACCGGGGGGCCCTATCTGAGGTGGGAGTCAGGTTGAGTGCAAGGTTTCAACCCTGAGACATTAGTGGGAAGGTATTGGGAAGGAAGGATTCTCGGTTGATTTACTGGTGGTTTAGTATGTATAAAAGTTTGAGTGAGTTACTAGGATTTGCGACCAGCTGAGTGATTATTTCCAAATAGGCTGGTTGCTGAATGTTGTACTACATCATATTGGGAGATAAAGGCATCTAACTGGATGGAGAAGGGAAGGGAGATTAGTGAGAGCCAACAGGGTGGGTTGGGGGGTGGTTATATCTCTGTACTGTTGGCTTGAGGGATATATGGAAGGGAACCCTGAGTATGCTGTTCCAGAAGAAGAGAGGCATCTGCTTTAATGGAAATCTCTTCTTCTAACTCAATAAGTTCATGTGGGGGCCAAGTGGTTAGATTGCTGGGGTAGTGGCCTCAAGGTGTTGATGATGAATGCCACATCTGTCTGTAATAAAAACTCATCCACAGTTTGGTGGTTGGACAAACAGGCAGATCTGGCATACTTGACTGGGTAAGGGTGATGATATCACACTCTCTGAAATCAGACCTACCAGATTTTGGGTCCTTCAGCCTTGTTACCACAGCCAGGGATGAGGAAAGGGTGTTAATAGCTAGGGATATTCTTTCTGTGTTTAGGGAAGCTGCTCTTGAGATACTAGGGTGTGAAAGCAAGCCATAGAGATAAGCTAGAGATTCTCCTCAGGTTCTGTCTGCTCTGTTCCCCAGTGAGATCCCTCCCTGGGCTCCTGATTCTGATTTCGGTGCTGGTGATGGATAGCCCCACCTATTTGTGTTGGGGACCTTCAGACTCCATGGCTTCAAAGCCAAGATCAGGCAAGGCCCAGGAATTCATGATCTCCATCGGTGGCCATGGATTTGTCTCAGATAATCTCTGCCCCAACGCATACAGGTCTTGGAGATGTTACGTAATGTGGAGATAGAAAGTATTTCCATCACACACAACCCCTTTGCCTTTTTTAGATCATGCTGTGATCCAGATTAGATTGACTGCTACCTCTGATTTCCACAGGATGAGGGCTGTTCAAATGGTCATAACCAAAAAGTGATTCTGACCAAGCATAGGTATGTGCCCATGTTCAGGCCTATAGCTGGCAGTAAGGGAGGCAAAGCTTCTTTATTTCTCCAGTGCCCCTGTTTAGAATATCTAATCCGCCTATTAGGAAAAAAGTCAACACAAGATATTCCATCTAATCACCATGAATGGTTTTCACAACACAACAGGACTTTGCCTGTAAAGGCACTCAGATTTGTCAGAATCTTGACTCCTCGTAAATTGGGTCTTTAGTGGTGACTAGGACATCATCTTGTTGCATTAGCTAGGATTCCTTCTGGCCTATGAACTCCAAGAAGTGGATACAGTTCTTTCTCAGTTGCCCCCTGCCAGACGCCTGGCTCCTGTGGTACAGGGGGTAGTCAGACCATCTGGATCTGGGAGATGGTCAAGGCCTCTTTATAGGAAGGAGTTTTGCCAGGAGCTTTGAAAGAGTCTATGGTACGGTCCCCCTGAAGGGATTCTCCCTGGAATTGACAGTGTCAGATTACTATTGCCCAGTCTCCAACTTACCCATTCTGGGAAAGGTTTCTGAAGCAGAGGTGGTGGCAGATCAACTATGGTGGCATCTTAGATGAAGTGGATTATCTCAATCTTTTTCAGTCAGGGATCAGGGCCAGGCATAGGACTAAAACAGCATTGGTCATTCTTATAGATTATTTCTGTTGGAACCTGGATAGGAGTATGTACCTTTCCTGGTCATTTTAGATCTCTCAGAGGCTTTTGATAGCATCAGCCATTATAATTACTGGATCAACTTATGGGGTTGGAGATTGGAGGCACTATTTCGCAGTGATTACTCTCCTTCAGCAGGTACTCTCAGCTGTAAGGAGGGAAGAGAGGTGGTCTCTTCCACAGAGGTTGGTCTTCTTCCCCCTATGTTTTGACATCTTTATGAACCAGCTCTTACAGTTTGGAGTGCAGTATCATCAGGATAACCAACTTTATATTATCACTGCAAGCTTTTGGGGAGATGCCATTGACGTCTTACCCCAGTGCCTGGAAACTGTTAGGTTGTGGATGGGATATAACAGGCTAAGGCTTGATCTTACAAGATAGAGTTACTGTTTGTCTATGAAGGCTTTCCATTGACGCCAGTGTTAGCATTGGACAGGCAGGAACCACAGGTTTGCGATGAAGGATCCTTCTGGGCTCAAAGCTCCTGCAGGTACAGCAAGGGTAAGCTATGGCTAGAAGGGCCTTTGCTCAGCTTCAGTCAGTGCACCATTTGCAGCTTTACCTGGTGCAAGAAGACCTTGCTACAGTAACTGCAATGCATTTTACCTGGGAATGCCTTTAAGAACTACTTGGAAGCTGCAGTTAGGGGGCTGAAGGAAGGAAGTACTTCTGTTTGGGGGTATCTCAGTCCTCTGGAAGAGTTTTCCTTAAGGGTAGCCTTGTGCATTCAAGAAGATGTTGAAGATGGAGCTACTCTGCAGAACATTTTAACCTGTTTGGGGCCCTCATTTTTGTTTTATTTTTCTTTTATTCTTTAAAAGAATTAAGAATAAGAAATTAAGAAATTTTGTTTTATGATTTTCATGTTACTGTGGATACTTTAAATTGTTTTTCTAAAATGTTAGCCAACAAGAGTCAAACTGATTGCAGCAGGGTAGAAATAAATCAATAATGGTATAATTGATTGGTTGATTTAAATTTCAAAGATTTTATGCCCAGCATGAACTGTGACACTACCTGAAGAAAACAGACAGACAGACAAATAATAATATAACTACCACGTCTGAATTATAGTATGCAGTGAATCTATCAATTATATTCATAAGTGAGATGTGGGTTTTTTTCCCCAGATTTTTATGAAACCAGATTTTGCCTTGGATGATCCCGTAACATTTAATGCAGTATTACCTTGGTCTCATTTTAATACTGCTTCTGGGAAAGGAAACCGTGATGCAGCTTCCTCCAAGTTACTTCAAGAAAAGGTAAACAATATGTGTATTTTCACTACAGATAAAAAGTAATTGAAGTATTTTATAGAAATACCATGTTTTGTTTAAAAACAAATGAAGTGGTAAGATTTGGATACCATGTTTGGCCATCTCATTTTCCAGCTCTATCCTTGATTTTAATACCAGCCTTCAAGAAAAGCTCCCTATGCAATTTCTAAATATTTTTGGAAGAGCTCAGTCAGAAATAACATCAGGTTTGTGTGTTTAGCATGTGCAGGTATTTGTGGTGCTTGCAACTAACTACCTCTCTGCCAGTATCTATATAGTTCTAGGGTTTTTCCAGGCTTCAAACCAGATTGGAGAGGATTTGTGGATCAATAACAGAATTTGGGGGAAATTCATATTTCTTGGTACATTCACAATAACTTCTACTAGATCACAGAAACTTCCATGAATGGAAGAAAAAAAATTCTCATTGAAGAATGGCAGCAATTCAGGGATATTGAAAATGTTTCTCAGCTTTATAGTGGAATCTTTTTAGTTTTGTCCATATACTAGTTTTCACTAAATACGGGGGTCTGTTTTACAGGTAATAATTTGTAAAGATACTCTGCACACTGTATGAATTCTCTAGCATTTTGATACTGACTTTTGTAGATAGACCAAATCCAACAATATTGATTTCTCTTTATTTATTAAGCTGAGCCACTACCTGGATATTGTGGAAGTAAATATTGCTCATCAGATCTCTCTCCGATCAGAAGCTTTTTTTCATGCAATGACCTCTCAGCATGAACTGCAAGACTACCTCAAGAAAACTTCCCAGGCTGTAAAAATGCTTCGAGATAAAATAGGCCAAATAGATAAAGTCATGTGCGAAGGATCCCTTAAAGTGTTAAGTTTATCACTGAGTAGAAATAACTGTATAAAAGCATATAATAAGCTGAGGTTGATGGCAACTGTACACCAAACACAACCTACAGTACAGCTATTGTTGTCCACTTCTGAATTTGTTGGAGCACTAGATTTAATTGCAACAACACAGGAAGTGCTACAGCAGGAACTTCAGGGCATACACAGTTTCCGGTAGGTAACGTTTGGGATTCCATTAGATGTGCATAATCGTATCTGATAATTTATTTTGAATGTATATAGCTAGGTCGTTTTTGTACTTAATTATTTGACTGTTTTAAGAGTTAGAGGAAAATGCTTATTTAGCATTCAGTTATGGATTTGGAAATTTGCCACATGAGAAGGATCTAATGCAGAAAAATAGCCTGCACTTTTCAACTTTGCAGAAGCCATAAAGGGTTTTTGTTGTCGTTGTTGTTCATAAGAAATTTAAAAAATGTAGGTTTAATAAATATTTTATGGAAAAGTCTAAAGAGGTTTTTTAATGGTTTTTAATGGCTTTATTGTTTTTAATATTTGTAAATAATTTTTGTTGCTATGTTTTTGGTTATTTTGTTGTACTGTTTTTAACTTCATATGCTGCTCACAATCACATATGTGAGGTGGGCAGCTATATAAATTTACCAAATAAATAAATTAAATAAAAAGAGAATGTTTCTTAAAATATAAGAACCTTGGTAGATCAATCTGCCATCCTGATTACAATAGTAGTCATTCGGATACTTCCAAGAATTCATAAACAAGACAATGCAAGCAATACATTTCCTATCAAATTGTTCTCACTTTGATTGAAATTTCTTAACTTCAGTTAATGTCACAGTAGAATGTCTTTGTTTAAAGGAAACTGTAATGTACACAGAACAGAACTTATTACTATGGTAGTTTTAAACCTCCATGCTTCTCAATATTAACTTTGTTTCTTCTATACCTTTCCCTTGTTTTTTTTTAAATCCTAAACAGGCATCTTGGATCACAGCTTTGTGAATTAGAAAAACTGATAGATAAAATGATGATTGCAGAGTTCTCTTCTTATTCTCACAATGATTTAAGTAGACCTCTGGAGGAAGAATGTCAAATTCTTGAAGAGGTACAGTGTTCAATATTGAATAGATTTACGGTTGCCTTCAGAACACAAGCTGAAATCCATAGCTTCAAATGATACTTACTTTTTTTCCTTCATGAAATTAATTTACACCAATATAACTTGAATCATATACAATGATTTATAAGCATTAATTCGGAGCCCGATTTGCATTTATTGACATTTTCCATTCTCCTTTTAAATATTGCTTAACCATGATAATAACACATGCGATGTTCCAGTCTATTAACACATGCAAATAACTTCATTGTAATTGTTATGTGAGGACTGGAAATCATTGTATGTTATTCTCATTGACAAACTGTTAAAGAGCAGTTTGGATAGTACAAGAGTAAGGTGGGTCCGGCTGGCTAGTTCAATTCAGAGAGTCAGCACTGATGGCTCCATGTTGAGTTGGAAATCAGTAGCCAGTGGTGTCCCACAAGGATTGGTCTTGGGGCCATTATTATTCAAAAAAATTATTAGTGACCTGGATAATGGAGTTGATGAGCTGCTTCTCAGATTTGTGGATTATATAAAATTGGAAGATGTAGCCAACATCCAGGATGACAGAATGAGATTGCAGTCTAATCTGGACAAGTTAGAAGACTGCTGAGAGGAACAGTGTGTCTTTCAACAGGAAATGTAAGATGCTACATTTTAAAAGGAAAAAATACAGAGTACACATACAAGATGAGCTATTCATGGCATGGAAGTTCTACATTGGGGAAGGACTTGAGCATGGTCAAGTTGAACATGAGCCAGCAGTGTGAGCTAACTGCTAGAAGAGCTAATGCAGTTCTAGGCTAGACTAGAAAAAGCATTGTATCAAAGATGCATGAATTCCTTATTCTATCCTCCTCTGCACTGGTGAGACCATAGGTCGCTCACTAATTGATATTATCCAGTGAGGAAGCATACTATGTTATGACTCATAATGTGTAACATCAGATAAGCTATATAAATATTAAGAAAAGAGTGGCAGAATCAAGATGGAGCTTTTTATTTATGTATTTCATATGTGAAGCTGCTCTTGTGTCAGAATAATGCATTTTTTGCTAATTGAACACACTGGGTAGTGGTACCTCAATCCAGACACGAAAAACCTTTACAGTATCCAAAAATATTATATTCATTATATCATTATATCAAAAAATATGCTTGCCCCTTCAATTTGGGTTCATAAAAACATTTAGTGACTCTATCTTAACTTTCTCTAGTATTTACATAAGCATATATTCACACCAGGTTCTTGTAACGTCTGCTAGTCCAAATCCAAAACCTTAATATTGCAGGGTTGGTTTCCACCAAATTTACTATTTAGTGTTTTAGCTTACTAAGTTTTAATTTTCTTTTTTATAGGGTATTTTGTTTCTTGTTTTCCTTTACCTAGGAAAGGCTGATATCACTAGTATTTGGACTTCTAAAACAAAGGAAGCTGAATTTTTTTGAAATATATGGAGATGAAATTATTGTCACAGCAAAAAATATAATAAAACAGGTAACTTATTTCATGGTAGCTTAATAGCTTTCTCTTTCCTAATCTTGAGTTACAAAAATGTAGAAAAATCCATGTATTGTTGATTTATCATAGTGCATTGAATAGACTACACATTACTATTTGGAGAAGTAAGCTAATTAGATTTTAAAAAGTGGGTTGTTAGGAAGTCTTCTAAGCTGAAAACTATAATTCTTCTCTAAATGGAGAAAGTAAGAGACACTGTAGTTAATAATCTATCTGTTGCTTTAAATTTATTTAAAAGTATATCTTGGTTATCACAAGTGGTGTCTGATAATAGCATTTAGCAGCAGCTGGAATTTAGAGAAAGGGTGGGGAATTGCAAGTTGATTTATCAGAATTATGAGTTTCAAAGTATGACCCAGCCTTTGCTGTAAAGGTCTATGATCATTCCCTATACTTTGCCAGCCTTTTTTTTTTTATTAAAGTGGTATATTTTGAGGGGAAATGATGACAAAGTAGTGACTTGCCCTTGTGTGGATAGAACAGCTTGTGTGATAGTGAGAGCACCCAGATAGCTGTTCAAATGCTAAGGGCTTGATAGAACAATTTTGGTTCCTTTTTGTATATTTGAGCTTATAAAGCTGTGCTGAAGTCCTGATGACTTTACTCCACGTAGCTTCCTTTGCAATAATGTGGAAGTGGTTCGCCGTTGCCTTCTCCTGAGGTCTTCTTTTGACTTCCCAGTCTAGCTGTCAGCCCCAGAATTCCCTGATGGTGTCCCATCCAGGTGCTAATCAAGTCTGACCCTATTTAAACCATTTCAGTCAGCCCCTACCCCTATCCCGCAAGCTGGACGCCATCTAAGCTAACTATTAACTTTTTAAAAAAGTGAATATGACAACATTTCCACTATGAGGGCTGGGATTTGCTGTGGCTTCCTGCTGAGGATAATCTTTGCAATTAAAATGTGTTACCACTTAATGTATAAAATACACTGAAAAAACAGAAGGAGGATCGAGTTAATGTTGCTATCAAGCTGAGTTTGTGGCTGCAGCCTAACAATAATTAGCAGGAGGAGAAAAAGGCTAAATAAGTAAATTTTATTTATTTATATAATTAAAGCAGAATCTAATTTAATCTTTCTCTTTCTGTGGATGGTTTGATTTTATCTGAGCCTGGCATTAGGCAAATTAAAGAATCTCTAATTGGAAGTTGGGAAGCATTAAATCTGTGAGGAAAGCTAAGACATGTGTTTTGTGTTATGCAGTGTGTTGTTAACATAGTATCACAAATAGAAGAAATTGACACAGATGTTGTTGTAAAGTAAGTATAAAACTAAATTGCTTTAAATTCTTTTCTATATCTGTGAATAATTTACACTTTTCTGCGTCTATCTTTGCTTTTTAGCAATTGTGCTTTTAGCAACATTCTGTAAAGTGCATTATTTAATTTTGGGAATATTCAGATACTAGAACAGTCAGAAGAAAATGGTAATGCTGGGAATGACCTCAATAATTCTAGTTTAAATTAATTAAGATCCAAATTTATTTAAAACCCTAGTATATTCTGTGGCCTTTGTTCAGATGTAATACTAAATTATAGGTTAGAATAACAAAAGGAGCAACTGGCCATTTTCTCATAGAATGATACACTAGACCAATAAAGAGAAATCAGAATTCTGAGTATTAGAACATCTGGTGCAAATCAGAAGCAAAGTGGGCTTGGGCTTGAACAGCAAATATGTTGACTGTAGGGATGTTTCTGAAGCCAGTGTGTGTAGTATATGTGCCAGATCTGTTGACACCTCCTTAAGGAAACTATTTTTAGCTTCTTGACTCTAGGAAAAATAAGAAAGCACCAACAAAGTGCTGCATGCTGCTTTAGCGCAGACATGGCTGTGCTATCAGTGTGCTTCCTTAACTCCAACGTGTTGGTCTGAGATCACACAACTACTGTGTGCATCTAGAAAAAGATGCAGGTTTATTAATCATCAAAATAATATTGTGAGGACCTTATTGTTTCCATTGTAAACTTGAGAGCTAAATTAAAGTTTAAATGACAATATTTTTATTTTACATTATGGTTCATAGACTTGCAGATCAAATGAGGATGTTGAATTTTCCACAGTGGTTTGAACTTCTGAAAAATATTTTTTCTAATTTTATTGTCTTTCTCAAGAGAATTAAGGTAAGATACTGTATTTTCAGTAAAGTTTTTATAATGTATCTTGCATAGTACATAATACAAAATTGTACTAGTTCTGGTGATATAATGTAGTTTACAACAGAATCCTGGGCTGTTGCCTGCTGTTATTGATCAACAAACTATGTTGTACAGCTGCAATTTAAGAAAGTATTTGGGGAAATTGTTAGCAATAATTATTTAAAGTAATACAATTCCAAGGTGCTTTGGGGGGGGTCAAAGTTCAAATATAGGTGGTCATAGTTATTTGGAGGGGTTCCATTCCAGGTTAACAGCTGTGGATAATGAAACCATGGATAATCAGATTTTGAAAATATATAGTTTACACATACATAAAACCCATCCATTCTGGGCATGAGTAAAACATACGAAATACTCTGCAGAAGTCCTTTCCCAAAGAGAATCATGAATCAAAACCAACAGATATGTGAAACCTTTTCCTACAGATAATGAGTCTGGTCTGTACTTACCAAGCATAGATTCATGAAACAATGGGTACTAGAACTGCAGATAATGAAGGCTACTTCTATATAGAGATTTTTACATTTAGGTATGTCCGTATTATTGCAATTTAATGAATAATTATGATTGTCTATAATAAGCCTAGGAGAACCTGAATTTTGCCCTCCTTTCTTCCAACTGTCGTACCTAGAAATTGGAGATTAGAAACTATAGTTTATATTTAGTTTAATTTATAGCAACAAGTCAACTTTAAATCTAAAATGAAATTGACTTATGTCAAGAAACCATAGTTAAGATAAATGCCATTTGCTCAGCTTGAGATATAAATTTGAAACACTGGATGAGAGGAGAAACAAAACATATCTTAGCTTTTGGTATGCAAAGGAACTGACAAGTTTAACCACAGGCCTACATTTAACTTGCAAATTAAAACATACCTGGAACTAGATATCTGCAGGCAGCTATTTGCCTTTATCATTAACATGATCTTGTTTGCAAGGACATTCCAAGTTTTATGAATGGAATGGGCATGACGGTTGAGTGTTATTCCCAGTCACTTCCTGTTTTGGTACTTCATTTCTTGTTTGTACAAATCAGCATTCTCCATCCTGTCTGAATTAGGGAAGTCTTCCTTTAATATCAGCTAACAAGCCAGGTTCATATTTTAAAATTAAACAAATCCTCTGCCCATTTCACATGAAACATAGATGAAATGAAAGGTTAAAAAAAGACGCATATTGTTACTATCCAGTCCTAAGAGCAAGCAACAGTCCTGTTTTGCTAGGAACTTCTTAAACTAAATATTGTTGGGAATTACAATTATTACTCCTCTCACTTGGAGAGTTTAGTAAAAATATATTTACAATCCATAATGATACATTCCCAATTTAGCTCTAAGTATGATATAGAAACGTGGTTAGAAAAGACAAACATTCCAGCATTTACACCAACGTTCTGTCCCATGTTGAGCATAAAAGTTTGTAAACAGCAGTCATGAGCATGAGAAGAAATGTTTGTGTAACTGGATTTGCGAGGAGGCATTTCTCCTTTTGTTCAGATTCACACAAACAGAAAATCCTCCCTGACCTTTCATGTAGGGTTAGAAGATTTGAGACATTGGAGGTCCAGTTGGAGTTCACAAGGCCATTGGGATGGTGGGTGGGATTGTTATTTTAAAACACTGTCACTTGCTTTTAGTGCAGTTCATACGTGCAACCATGAGTGTTGCATATAGTAAGTTTTGAGACAGAATATATGTTAGATAATTGTGGGTAATGAATATTTTAATTATTGTTTGAGTAGAGTTTATTATTAAACTAAAAATATTTTGCTAAAGGGTGTATTTTTCAAGGAATACAGCATTTTAACCAGTACTATATTTTCTTTAGGGAACACTAAATGTCATCAGAAGCGTGGTTCTCTTGGTTCTTGACAAGAACCAAAGGAGCAAGGAAGTGGGCGATGTTTCTGTGCAGACGAATTCTGCAAAGGAGAGTACCATAGACACAGAAGTGGCATATCTGACTCATGAAGGCATGTTCATAAGTGATGCCTTCAGTGAAGGAGACCTTCCATCCACAGTAGCTGATTCTGCCTCTCAGAGAAACCTTTCCCCAGACAGTGAGCCCAGCAGTAGTGATTCTGTATCTGAAGCTGAATGTACCACTGATTCCTCATCTAGCAAGGAACAGACTTCGTCCAGTGTAACACTGGGTGGAATTGAGATTGTGTATGTAGTAAAGATCCTTAATCTAGATCCTGATCCAAACAGCAGGCATGGTTGTTCCAGCTGACAAATGTGAACATTCATAAAAGTTCTTAAAAAAATTGAACTCAGAAAACATAATTTTCAAAACTCAAATGTCAGGTTTGACTCCTGTTTTATGTATTCTCTGAGGAAAGAAGCAAAATTTGAATTCCTAATCCTGGTTTCTAACACCAAATGTCAGTTTTATGAAATTCTAAGTTTTTAACTTGGTAACTATATAACTCCTCATAATATAATAGCAAATTGTCACATTATCCAGTATCATTTTTAAATGTGATATAGAATTGTCTGAAACAAACAGCTTGCCCATCCTGTCTGTGTATGTTTGTGCATTAGAAACTTAGAGATTTGTGTGATTTTCGCTACCTGCCATGCTTTTGTTGCCTTGTTGTCTCTGGATGAAAGAACAAATACTGCTGCCATATATTTTAATTGCAATGAAAGAGTCTTATTGATATTTTTTTATCCGTTTATGTGTTTTGACCTAAGTTGAGAAGCTCTGCATTGATATAGTTATTTCATGCCCATTCCTCCAGTCCTTCTAAGAAATTTCTAGTTCTCCTTTCTATTCTATCTTCATTGGTGGGCAGTGCCTGTAATATACTAATGAAATTCTCTTTACCTGAGAACAACCACAGTACAAGCATTTACTGTAAAACAGGAAGGTTATTGATTGTAGCATTTCTCTGTTATGTTATGCAATAACTTCTTGCACTGGATAATTTTTGTTGTTTTTGGAGAACTGATGTTGCTCAACAATTGTAGAGACGATTGTCCTATATAATGTCTTCCCCTAGTGTAACAAATTGCAGGATTTTAGCTAAGAATTTAGTGTCTTAGTTCTGGTGATATTAAAATAATTGTAAATCCTGTGTTAAAAATTCTAGGAAGCCGACATTTACCATCAAATTCCCCTCTAGTTCAAAGGCATTGACCTCAAAATACAGTAATATTTTGTAGTCAGCATAGTTAGTGTAAATGTAGCAGTAGGTGATTCTATTTTTCTCCAAGCAAAGCAGTAGCCACTGCATTATATCAGCTACATATAATATGTAAACAAATTCTTATTACTTTCAGGATTGGTGAAGATATAAAATTGTCAGAACTGGAACTGGGCAGATTAGCAATTAACATCCAGGAGCTACTTTACAGTGCCTCAGATATTTGCCATGATCGCTCTGTCAAGTTTCTCATGGCTAGAGCAAAAGTAAGTTTGATGCGGATACCTGTAACCAGGAAGAAATTTTTCAGCTAGTTGTGTTTTCTTTTTGCAGTTATAACCAGATCACTTTGGGATAATTTGGGATATGTAGAGATGGACTAAATGTTAGAATTGGTCAGAAGATCCAGATTAAAATCTGTATTCAGACCAGAAGTTTCATGGCTTGTTTTGAGCTCACAATCTAATCAAATCTAGTTACTGGGAAAATGCAATTCAATAATTACAATAAAGATAAATTGTAGGATGGATAAATAAGGAATAAAACAAACCTTGATACCATTTCCCCTACTAGGTCGTCTTAGAAGACTATAGCATAGGATTGGAAAAATGAAAATAAGAGTGCTATTACATCAACTTTTCTTCTCTCTTTAGGATGGGTTCCTGGAGAAACTGAATTCTACAGAGTTTGTTGCTCTTTCCCGATTGATGGAAACTTTCATCTTGGATACAGAACAGATCTGTGGTAGAAAGAGTATGTCGTTGCGTGGTGCACTTCAGAGCCAAGCTAATAGATTTGTAAACAGGTTCCATGAGGAAAGAAAGACTAAACTCAGGTATTGTATTTATGTTACAGTTATAACAGAACCTTTATTGCATTCTAAACAGTAAAAAGTAGAGTTGAAATCCATTGTATGCCACCTGAATTATTTACCTCTGAGTCTACGAAGCATATTGAATCCATATTAAATCAATAAAATGGTTAATTTTAAGTCACTTTTTGGGTTTGTGTAAGTAGAGTGCCACAGTGGATTTCAGAAGGGATACAGTACACCGAAAATGAACAAAAATACTTTTCTCCCTTCCCCATCTTCCCTATTTGTTATTCCCTCCCTCCTAATTCTCCCGTCCACGCTGATTTTCCAAGTTTCTCTTGGGACTAGGGAAGTGAAGTGACTGTTCAAGGATCTACTCAGTTTCCAGCATGATCCCTTTTAATTTTCTCTCCTTATACTTGTATACACACTCCCTTACTTTGACTCCAACCTCTTTGCCTGTACCATAGGCAGGTGGTTACTTTACCATAGGCAGGTGGCTACTTTGCCTGTACCACCTATGCTTCTACCATAGTCTCCTTAGTCACTTCCTTCCATTTTCCTGACACACATTTTTCACGACCAAAGACTTTTACAGAAAGTGGACTGAATATTGCAGGTTACCAGTGTACTTCCAGAGATTTTGAGTTAAGACAACATCCTAGCATCAGATGTTTCGAGAAAACTGATAAATGGGAGAACTAAGCCTGCAGTGGCTAAGCATTGAGAAGGGTGGAAAAGGTTTGACCTGGGCCAACAAAGGAATGAGTGGCTTCCATTCCTTGACAGCACATCTCAGCATCACTGCTTCACGTGAATCTGGGTTCTTGTGAGTGACTTGGAAATAAATAGAGGGACAATAAATCAAAATGAAAAAAGGATAACAACAATAAATTAATCTTTCAAATGGTATATTCCTTTTTGACAAACCACGTGGTCAGAAATAATACTTAATGTTATAAACACACAATGGGATTTTAAAAAATTAAACATCTACAGAAATTGATGTTGTAGGCAAAACAATCTGAAGAAGTTTGACTAGCTTGCCCCTTTGTCAGAAAACTCCTAATACTGAATTTCAAATGAACATGGATGCAAGAGACAAAAGAACAGATTTTTTTTCTCTAAACCCCTTTTTCTTTATGCATGTAAATAGTCTTTTACTAGATAATGAGCGCTGGAAGCAAGCTGACGTTCCTGCAGAATTTCAAGATCTTGTTGATTCCATATCAGATGGCAAAATTACTTTACCAGAGAAAAAAGCGGGAGGTGAGTCCTTTCTCTCAGTAGCCTCTACATTATTCTAATGTTGCATGTGAATATATTTTGGCAAACCTTTGACAGACAAAACACATATTCTCTTCTCTTAAAACCCATTATAATCATTATTCTCAAGCTCTTCAGTTCCTGAAGAGAAAGATCAAATTGATAAGGGTAATACGTATCTCTGGGACTTATTAAACATTAAACATAGCTGTTTTAATGAGTCACAGGCTGCATTTGCACTTCTACTTGTTCCAAAGTTCTTCTTTTGAACTGAAGCTAAAGCACTGCACAGCCTTACTGAGAAATGAAATTAAAGGTACTTTAAAATGTCTGTAAATGTGACTTGTCTTAATGTAACCTGCAAGCTGTACTGTTCGGACATGGCCTGCACTTAACCCAGAGTGAGAAAGATCTAAAAAGAATTAAATGAAATTATTTATATTTCCTTGGATGAGTAAAAGAAAACTCTTTGTATTTAATGCAGGAGATTCTGCCAAAAAGCTGCATTTTCTTAGAAATCCAAGTTACCAAATAGTAACTCCAGAATATCATTAACAGATCATTCATTTCAGTTGTCTATAAGGTGTAGCTACTCTTCATTATTACTGAAATAAAGTATGATGCTAACAACATGTCCATTATCATGATTTGTGAGGTAATGACATCGGGAGATTGCCAGGAGACTCTGTGCCCTTCTGTGTGAAAGTATTCCTTAAGTAGCACTTTATTTTTTTCCCAAAAGAAGTTGTAAACTAAAAGGATGCATTTTGGAATTTGAAAAAAAAGTGCTTTTTGAGCAAAGAGCAGATCTAGCCTTCCTTATAGTTATTGAAGATTTTGGGCCATTTATATTTTCTGATAGAATAATGGGATCATTTTTGAATCTCAAAGCTTAAGCACCCATTTTGGGTTTTGTTTCTTGACTTGATGGACTTTAGGAAATACAGTTAAATTAGATAATCGAAACCATACAGTCACTTTTCTTTTGCAACTGATTAATATTTCCATTTCCAGTTACATGAAGAACCATCTGTTACTTTCAGCTGAACAGTTATTCCACCATTCTCACAATTTTCTGTCTCTTCATTGCAGATCTTAGTAGGTCTCCAAAATGTCTGAGAAAGGTTATTAACTATGGGCCCCAAGGTTATAGACAAAATCTGTTTTTTATGAATCAGGTGTCCTGTAATTTATTATGTATGATCCAGGAGTGACTTATGTGACAAAAGCAAATGAGAACTAGGTGATAATATTACTAAGAAAAGTTGAAACTAGAATAATTTTAAGGCCAAACCATTTTCTTTTTTATGCAGTCTTTTACAAATTACTACTTTGCAAAATGTTTGTGTCTGTTAGACAGTCAGTTGCATGCTGTGTTGGAACAGGTTTTCCTTCTCTGGCAGTCCGCTTGATTTCTGTGCTGGCTGGAGAGGAAAGTTGATCACTCTCTAGTGATCTCTTCACTCCCTGGCATAGAATTCCAAGGAGTTTACCAGACTTCCTTGCTGCCTATGGCACAGATGACAATTACGACCTCCCTGGAAGGCCAGGTTGCTATCCAGTTCCCCAAATTAATCTATTAGGCTGATGAACAACATTAGTTGTTGGGACCAGGACCCTACCTCAAGCCCCACCTTTTGGCTCCAAAAGGTTATGTGGGTTCTAAAGAGTTTTCCTTTCAGGAAACTGGAGTGCCTGGTTTCCAGTTGCCTCATCCACTGAATTGGCTGAATGTGTCCTTTTCATGACAAGGATAAAGTGAAACCCAGGATGTGCTGCTTCAAGACACTGAACACTATAATGTAGCAGCTCGCTATGTAACTCTGATGACATAGATAAAAAACAATCCTTATGTCTGTGGAGTTAAAGAGCTACAGGGCTAGTGCTTAAATAAACCGGAATGTATTAGTGCTTAATGAGATTGATTTAACATTTAGAGTGTTCTGCGCTTTGCCGTTAGTTAGTTTTTTTCTTTTTGTTCATCTTCATAGCACCTGAAGAAAGAAAGCCCACTGATTTCCTTATTGTTGATGGACAAAAATATGCTGTAGTCGGGTAAGATAAACTTTCCTCTTTCTTTGTAACATCATTATTTTGAATAATAATTTTGAATTTAAAATATTCTAATGTGCTTTATTTTTAATATAAAGTAATATAAAAATATTAAAAATTTATTAGGTATAGGACTGATTCAGATGGTCCACCCCAGGCATCTAATCAATCCAGTTGGTTTCCAGAGGGTGCTTGGAAAATTTAACTGCTCTCTGATGGGCGCTTCTGTTCAGTGCCTGGTAAGCAGCTGCTGTCAGGAGGCAAGCTGGGCCCTGGATGTTATTGTCTTCAAGTGGCCTCTTTCTGAGTGGCACCCTTGTTTACTGAGGCTCTTTGGGAGATGAAGCACCAGAAACAATACCTAGAGTGCTGGTGGAGAAAGTCTAGAAGAATCCAACCAAGTATGGGTATGCTCCATGTTCAGGCCTACACTGTGACAATAAGGGAGGTGAAGCATTCTTACTTATCCTCTCTTATTGTGCTGGATGGCTGTCATCCAGGGGCCTTGTACAGGATGATGGATTCTGTTCTGGGGAGGAGATAGTTTTGTGATCCTCTGCTGGGCCACTATCAGCAGTTTGCACAGCAGTCTGCCAATAAAGTCACTTGAATTTGCTGTGCCTTGGCTGCTCTTAGACAGAGTCATTGATAGTAACTGGTATCAGACTTATTTTGATGTGTGACCTCCAAGGAAGTGGATAGGGTGCTATCACCTCTGTCATTGTCTCAGTTATCTTCTGCTGGTTGGAATCCTACGCCTCTGGCTTATATAGGAAGCGGTATGTGCATGACCACTTTTATCCAGTAAATTGTCAATGCCTCATTCCTGGAGGAGTAGTTCCCAGCAGCCTTGAAAGAGCCTGTGGCACATCCCATCCTGATGTCAGGTTCAGCCCAAGAAACTACACGGGACAGTTCTGGAATTGCTGTTAATTTATTAGCTTATACCTGCTAGACAGAATCTCGCCAGACTAACTCTAACTCCCAAAGTCTCCAACTAAACACTACGAATTCCTTAGGGTGGTG